TTGGCAGTCTTCATTTATCTGGTACCTCTCAGGCATCTCTAGAACAGCAAACTGTGGTCCTCAAGATTAGGAAGTGGCAAAGACTATGGCCAACCTCAATCACCTGTCAAATGTCATGTCATGTAGTATTTGCCCCTATTTCTTTCTTTTTCTCTCTTTCTCTCTCTCTCCCCCCCACACACACATCTCTCTCTCTCTCTCTCTCTCTCTCTCTCTCTCTCCCTCTCCCTCTCCCTCTCCCTCTCTCCCTCTCTCCCTCTCTCCCCCTCTCTTTTTCCTCTTTTATGCAAGAGAAGGAAGTCATAGCCAAACCTATAAACAAACATATTTTAGGAAAAAGTAATTTCCAGATTGCTTTCTAACACTCTATGTCCTTGAATATAAAACACCAAAGTATAACCCTCTTTCTATATTTAGCGTTCTTCTCATTGAGAGGACTAACTGCAACTCAAAACACAGAACACCTAGAAGAGGAAATAGACTAAAGAAAGGCAGTTCTAGCCGTGAGACCAGACTGGGATACCCAGTATAAAGGTTTAAAATCAATCTAAGTCGAAGAATGGTTTCAACATCCTCACAGATGCTGTAACCTTATATTTCAGCTTATTTTACTCAGGTCTCAATAGGAGTGACTAAATGGAGAGGAAGCTCCTAGGTTGGAATCATACAAAAACCCATTCTCTTGACTTTTGCATTGAGGAAAAACCAAATTTTAAACACAAATTTAAATGCTAGTCTTAGTCTTTTTCTATAAAGTGGGGAAGATGACTCTAGTGAGCAACAGAACTTGCTGGTGTCTCGATCATTCCACCTGCACATCACTAATTGTACAATGTACAGCAGAAAAGGACAGACTTCATTAAGTGACTATATAGTAAAAATGAAATATATATAATTGAGACTGGATAAAACATAATAGTTCCTAAGAATCTACTATCTTTTGATTATTGTGTTTCACTAATTCAATAAATTCCACTGATCAAGTATTCATTTTGACTTTTGATTACATGGAAATTTGAATTAAAAATGTTTTTCTCTTTTTCAGTATTGTGTCTTTAACTGATGACTACTGCAGATCTCCCTCCCTGAGAAAAAAAAAATGTAATCATCCAAAGAACCTACCAGACAAATACAAATTATTATAACATATAAGTACATATTGCTCTACTTTTTCTGACCATTAATAGGGTAGCATTTGCATGCTGCATTGTTTTCTACCTGTAACATTAGAGACCTGCCATTTGTCCTCTTATAAGCAGTGAAAGCAGATAGATATCTATATGAAAGAAGTGATTTTAAATCAAGACTAACCATTATTTAAGTGCCTAATATATATAGTGCAATGAGAAAAAACCCTCCTACTTTTGGAAGGGAAAGGGATAGTAAATAGAAAGAAAAGGCATTTATATTTGAAAATTTTTGATAACTACTATCTGCACTCACTAAATACACAATACTGTAATAAATACTACTGAGTTGAAGACAGTCACCACCTAAGGCAATTAATGTTAGAGAAAGTTAGGGCATATGGACACAGAACTCAGAAAAAAAAAAAAAACATTTCTCACAATTTTATACTAACCTAAAATCATTATCTCCACTTATCACTTTAAATAACTGATTTAGAATCTCAAGGTAAATAGAATGACCCAAGGGACTAACACCCAAATAATGTGTTATCTCACAATAAACTTAATAGTTAATGTAGGTCAGCCTAAATATTTTAAAAACAATAATCTGCAAAGTTCACAGGAGTCACATGCAAATTTCCAATTGGCTATTTTTCTAGAACTGCAAGTCTAATGTTCTGGAAACATAAGCAACTACCTATACTAAAACATAATGGTTGCTCCAATATGCCCACACGGAAGTATAGAAAAATGCTCAGTGCTAGATTACTATCTATCTATATATATATATATATATATATATATATATATATATATAGCATAATACACACACACACGTTTAAATTAACAAAATAAAACAGTTGCTGGTACTTTAATTACTAACTTCAGACATGAAAACAGAATGTATGTAATATAGCCCTCCCCTTACACCACTAAAAAATTAAGACATCTTAGTTCTTTATGAATTAAGTTTGTATTAAAGATTGTAAATTTTGTTTGCATTCAAAAGTTTTTAAAAATTCGGTGCTTTGTATCAAAAATGCATGAGAAAAGTATATTAATTATTAATCATCTGAGTTGAAAAATAGAATTTTATAATTCTGAGTTAAGCTTTTCCAAGAGGTAGTCTGAAGTATACAAATACACTAGTAGAGAATCATTCACCTAAATATTTCATGTGTTATAGACCAAGGTATGCAAATAATTTCAAAATTTTTCATATAATCCGAGGTCTCAACTTGAAAATATTTAGGCTGAAATATATGTGTAGATATTTTGAACAGCCTAATAAAAAGGCGAATAGGTCACTACAGTGTTCTCTGCAACTGAAAAGCAACACTTGGTGAGATCAGAATACCTAATTAATCTTAATATACAGGTATACTTCATCATCCATCATCCAAAGGGCTGATCAGAATCTTATGAATTGATTCCCCAAAAATCTGATCTTACTATTTAAGAACTTTCAACTGGAAATCTTTAATTTTTAAAATAAAAATCAATGCAAAGCAAGATTTTGCTTTGAAAAAATTCCTTTCATAGTTTTAATGGAACAAATTAATTCCATTAACATTTCAATATAATTCATAGCAGCACAATTTACAATTGTGCTAAGATCAGGAAACAGCCCAAGTGCCCACCAGTAGATGAGTGGATAAAAAAGCTGTGGTACATTTATAACATGAAATACTATGCACCGGTATAAAGGAAGGATCACTCACCCTTTGAGACAGCATGGAGGGACCTGGAGAGTATTATGCTAAGCAAAATAAGCCAGTCAAAGAAAGACAAGTATCACATGTATATGGAATCTAATGAACAAAATAAACCGATGAACTAATAGGTCCAGGGACACAGAAGCATAGAATAGACTATGGAACCTACGAGGGAAGGCAGGGGAAGGTGGGTGGGAAATGATCAACTAAAAACTTGTATGCATATATAGATGTATAACCCATGGTCACAGACAATAGAGTTGAGGGGGTGGGCAGGCTAGAAGGGGTTATTGGAGGTGGGGGGGAACATATGTAATACTTTCAGCAATAAAGATTTAAAAATTTTAAGAGATATTTAACTGTTATAATCCTACAAGAAAGTAACTCTAAATGGTTGTCTTTCCTCCCATTAAAAAACAAAACCTCTAAAATTTAATGGAATTCTATGACAAGCAGACTCACAGAACCAACTGTCTAATAAAAATAGCTAAAATTCTAATTCTCTCCAGTTAAAATTCCTTTTGAGAGATGCTTTCATTGGAAATATCTGAAGAAATAAAAATCACATTATTTGGAATGTTTTTGATTCAAATATGTTTCAAAGCCTATTATGTTACCTGTATTAATCCGTCAACTTTGTGGCTGTTAATGATAAACTGCATTTTAAACATTGATGTTTGTATTTTCTGCAAAATACCATTCAACATAAGCTTTACTGTAAAGTTTTATCAGTATTTCTCCTCTCCATTACATTATTGTCCAAACTATTTTCAAAAAACCAATTTACTTAAAAAAAAAAAATCCATATGAAAAACTACAACTTGTGACAGCCTATCTTCTAAAAACCATGATTTTAAATCTAGCTTTTAAGCCTTGGGCTTGGTACTTACCAATTTTTGTTTCCCTAGTTTCCTAAGTGCTTTACGCCAGGGGGATTGGTTGACGATTCTTCTACTAACATTAAGTATTTACAAAAGAAAACTGTTGTTGGCACACATATTCCAAATAAGTTTTTAATGGTACCTGAATGATATCTTCCCCTCATTTTTAATCTTTTATAGACTGAAAATTTTAAATCAAGTCTTAAATAGTAAGAAAGCCAGAACAACACAATCTAATACAGAATCAACCACATTCAGGACATTCTGAATGCAAATACCTCTTTCATCCAGTTTGATATTTTAACGGAAATCATTTAATATAACCTCTCAGATATGACATTATCTTTTTTTACTTAAATAGCTGCCTTACACTTTTACTTTATTTAGTTACCCTGTCGCCTAGTCACCACAGCACGTATAAAATATTCTACTTTTCTTACTATTTTATAAACTGATAATTTTCATTATCAGTACTGTATCTTTTTATTACGCACCCCTTTCCCACAGTATACCAACACAATATGATCAGATTAGAAAATTTAGCATCTTTTAAAAACATGTGCTTTTTTTCCCCCCTTGTATTAAGTGCCCACCATACAATTTGTGAATGGATTCCTATTACATGTTATAGCACCAATGTACCTGCCCCTGTAAGAATTCACCTTGGTCTTTCATGACCCTGCCTTGAACAGTTAAAAAAGTCAATAGCCAGAGGTTAAAGAAAAACAGTTACCTTCCAAAGACCAAACCATTGGATAAATTGTCTTGTCATTATGGCTTAACATTAATATGGCTATGGCATGTGAACCCATCCCTGTTTATCTTTATTAACAAGGTGACCTGATCACAACTTTTTAAAGTTTAGACTAATTTTCCATGTTTTATTCTGATATCATATTTTAAAAACAAAAGGACGTAGACATTAGCACTATTAATGCCTTTTTCTTTAGATGTGGTTTGACCTCTTTCCTTCAGTCTCTTCAAGGTCCGATTTCGACAATGCCCATTTGCTGTGAAAATATTAGAAGGGGTCATTTTTCGAAGCAATATTCCAGTTGGACTTATTCACTGATTAGCTGCATAATTTCTTCTAAGACATTTGTAACAGACACAACATATATAGGATTTCAGTTTTTTTTCTTTTTTTTCTAGTATGATTCCTGCTTTTCATTCTTTTTTTTTTTTTTTTCCTTTTGAATATATTGCACAATATTTTATTATTAAAAAAGTTTGATGTCTCGGGCAAAAAGTTTTTCTTCTTCACCTAGGAGGTGCTAATGTGTACTGTTTTCTAAAAGAGGTAAGTGGTTGTCTGTGTGGCCATCCTCAAAGGGAACCTAGGGAGAAAAAAGACCAGAGCATCAGTTTTGTTTTTCTTATCACATTAGTTCCTCTAAACACAAGGCTTTACTGAGGACAATTTTTTTTCTGGGCACCAAAAGATACTGTTTAGATTTAACAATAATACTATGAGTTAGAGACCAGTACCATTTATACTATACCACTTACAGAATTGATGGGTTTATAGGATCCAAGTCTAAAACGACAGCAAATTATTTCAACTATAAATTTTCCAATTCCATGTAACATGCCTGTAATAAAAAATGTTTTAATTAAGTTATACTATAATGTAATTATTTCCTAAATAACATAAAACTAAAGCTATAACAGTATAGGTTAAGGAAGGAAAGTAGTTAGCTTTTCTCCCACAATTAAAAGTAATGACAGTTTGATTTTAAAACAAATGAATTTATTTTCAAAATCATAAGATTCAATGATTCATGAACTTGACAAAGCAATCTTTTCAAGAGTGTTTAATACATCTTCCATCCACATAATTTTAAAAAATAAATACCAGCACTACAAATTTAAATGCATTTAAATGAAGCAATGACAAAGACTTTTATAAGAAAAGCTAGTCATTCATCTTAAAAATATAATTCAAAGTATATAAACTACTCAGTCTATATAATACTCAATAGGGGTTGGGGATAAAGAAGGAACTGTTTCCTTTCTGTATTTATTGTATTTAACTCTTACAATTCTGCAAGTAATTATCATATTTGAGAGAACCCCATAATATCAGGGGGGAAAAAGGTCAAAAATCATAAAAACACTGACTGAACTATCACATAGCTCAAAGTATCATATTATTTTACATATCATAAAATTAAAAATACTTTAAACCAAATAGAAAATTTACATTCAAGTGTCTACTATTTCTAGGCATTTTCTCATCTAATTCTACAACACACTTGCAAGTTAGGAACCATTATTCCCTTTTTTATAGATAAGAAAACAAACTTCAAAAAAAGTAAATATTACATTTTATACAAAGCAATCACTATGTAAATGGGAGAACTTGGATTCACTTCCAGGATCTGTATAGTTCACTAAGTAATCAAATTCTCTTAAATCACTGAATGCAATTTAGGTATGTTTAATCCATTAACTTTGGAATGAAGTCTTAAAAGAAAAAGTTCTTTAAATATCAAAATATGAAAAGTGTGTATATTTTTTGCCCCTTTTAAGTACAAACATCCTAATTTCAGTGTCAGCAACAGTTTTAGAAAATAGACAAAAAAAGAAATGAATCTTCACCTGTTGTTGAAAAGATTCCTCCAATGATACCACAGAGTCTTACAAAAAACTGCCAGAATGGCATATGTTCTTCAGTAACTGTCACCATAAGAGAACTGAGATCATATTTCATAAATATCCCAGAGAATCCATGGCTGCCTGCAGCATGGTTAATGACACGTTCCTAAAGGAAGGCAAAGGAAAGGGAGAGATAGGAGGAGGAGGAAAACAGGACTTATATCAGCTGGTTACTTATTTACAGTCAATATGAAGCCCTATACCCCTACTTTAGGAGAGGGACATCCAAATCTCTGCACAAATTGCCCCACTAGTATAAGATCTTAAGAGACAATCAAATTGTTCTGTATTATTTGTGTGGTTAGCTTTAGAAGCAATCAAAAGGAGAGAATTTTTCTTTCTAATTTTTTCTAAAAGGTCACTTAACATACAAATTTTCTGTTGAGCTCAAGAGCTAGAAACTAACTATATGGAACATTCTTCATTGACCAAATCAATGAAAACTAAATTCTTATTTTGACATATTTTTATACTCTTTGCTAAGAATTTACAAAATAATCATTTACTTCCTATTATTTAAATGATCAGATTTAAAAACAATTCACTCTCTGCTGTTCATTTTAAATGACATAAGATACAGCACAGGAAAAAAAATAGTGCATTTATTTTAAAGATATCAGTATTTGGTTTAAACTAGTTCAGTGTTTAAAAATTTATTTTCTTGAAAGTTATGAAACTAAAATTATAAACCTACCACACTGCACACTAAGAAAATATTCTATTTCACTCCATTATGTTTACACTTCAAAATCAAGTTTGCTAACTTTCTAAAACATTTCTATTATAGCTCAAAACAACTATGCTGCCACAGTACTGACTTTTGTTATGACTTTTATGTCAGGCACTACTTATTTTGACTAAGCTATAACTAAACTGCAAGCTTTAGAATAACAAGGTAAGTTAAAACAATTTTATGTGGACATTACAAAAACCCTTCCCTATTAACACAATAGAGCCTTATAATGCCATTGCTAAACTTTTCAATAAAGTGATTTCATTTAAAGCCCTGATAAATTCAGCTATGCCAAAATATACTCTCACCACCTCTATGGAAGAAAGATATTTCAGAGATTGATCAGACTGTCCTTGGAACAAAAGACTAATAATGATTCCCTTTGGGATGCAGGACCAATGAAAGCCAGCCCTCCCCATTTCTGTCCTCCTCATTCAACATTTGACCAACTCCAGATACGCCTTTTGTGTTTTTGTTTTTTATGTGAAACACAAACTGGTTTTAGTCATCTTAAGGGCACAAACATATTCTGCAATGGTCAAATGCTCTAGGATTCTATTTTTTTATTTAATTTATTTTATTTAAAATAGAGGCCTGGTGCACAACATTTTGTGCACTGGGGGGAGGGAGGGAGTTGGAGGGGATCCCTCAGCCAGGCCTGTGCCCGCTCGCAGTCTGGGACTCCTTGGGAGACTATCCACCTACTGGCTTAAGCAGGCCTAAGCCAGCAGGCGAACATCCCTTTCACAGTCCAAGATATCTCACTCCTTATGGCCCACCAGTAGCAGAGGTGGGAGAGGCTCCTGCCACCACCGCTGCATTTGCCAATGGTGAGTCCAGCTTCTGGCTGAGCGAGACTACCCCTATGGGAATACAATGACTACCAGGGGACAGCTCCTGCTCTGCATGTCTGTAGTCAGTGCACATCATAGAGACCAGTTGTTCTGCCATTTAGTCAATTTGCATATTAGGGTTTTATTATATAGGATACATCATGGATGTAATTTCATATTGGTATACAGTTATCTTTTCTCTCTCTTTTTTTAAAGTTGCATGTTCCTCAAATGTGGATGTACCACTTGTGTTGTTTCTAGTATTCTACAAACCACACAAAGAAAACCCTCATACACACATCATTGTGATTGTTTTCCTACTTTTATCCTTGTATTCATCTCCTAGAACTGGGATTACTGAGTCATTTTATAGATACTGCCAGATTCCCTTCCTTAGAGACTATGCTGTTTTGCATTACCGTGGTAGCAATGATGTGTGCCTGTTTTCCCCAAAGCCTTGCCACTGTGTAGACTGACATCAGGTGGTGCAATCTTAGTGAGAAATGGCATCTCCCCACCCATACAGAAATGCAGAAAAGAACAATATTCAGATAGTCCTTGGGTTATGTCGGACTCGACTTGCGTCGTTCGTGGTTATGTCACCATCTCCCATTTACAGTATTTATTAAAAAAAAAAAAGTTGTCATTTTGACATATGTACATATGTGCTTTATTTTTTTATTATTTATTTACCACAAGTAAAGTTCAGGAATTGTTATCTTTCTTTTAATTTTTTCCCCCACTGTTTCACTTCATCACTGCTGTTGTGTGTGCTCCATGTGAGTGATGTACATGGTTATGTAGGTGGGTTCCGACTCACGGAGAAAATTGAGTTACGTCACACCATAGGAACAGATCCCTGATGTAACCCGAGGACTGCCTATATACTTATGTACACTTTACCTAGTTTCTCTTTCTGTATACACCCCCCCCACACACACACACCAACTTATTATATTAGTACATACTTAATTCCTCCCCTGAGCCATGTGAAAGTTTTAAATACATGACAATTGACTCCTACAATCTTTATTATTTAATCCAAGAATAAGGAAAATTCTACAAGTATTAAGGACAAAGTCATCACAAAGTATAAGACTATTAAAAGAAAACTTCATCTCAAGAAAAGCCTTACAAGTCTTCTGAATACTAGTATTTGAACATTTATCATTCTTAAACAAAAAGAAAACATGATTCCAGAACAGATGAGAAATATTAAACTGTCCAATGCCAGCACTCTGATCCTCACTGTCATATTTATTTATAAGGCCAATGCACCCTAAGGTTGCAAAACAGTTGTCGTCTTAAGTAGACAAAGCACAAGTTAGGAAGGCAAGCCCTCAAAATCTGCTATCTGAGCCACAATAAGAATGCATGACCAAGGTTAGATACATTAATTAAAAAAGAAGTAACACAGAAATCAGAGAATCTGCCAGCAAATAAAAAAACTGTTTATACCAATACATTGAAAAAAATTACAAAATTAATATATTAAGATTAAAATAATTAATGCCATCAATTTAATAATTTTGAGTTACTTGAATACAAAACCTTCCACATTTAAAAAACAAACAAAAAAACTTCTTTCTGGTATTTTATTCTCTTAAAATATTAATGCATTTTGCTGAAACCGGTTTGGCTCAGTGGATAGAGCGTCGGTCTATGGACTGAAAGGTCCAGGTTCAATTCCAGTCAAGGGCATGTACATTGGTTGAGGGTATATCCCCGGTTGAAGGTGTGCAGGAGGCGGCTGGTCGATGATTCTCTCTCATCGATGTTTCTAGCTATCTATCCCTCTCCCTTCCTTTCTATGAAAAATCAGTAATATATATATATATATAATTTCATTAAAAAATATATTTATGCATTTCAAATTTTCAACAAATTTAAAAGAGGGAGGGCACCAACTGAAACCACAACCTTATTTTGTAGCAGGAGGAATATAAAATGCTAAAAAAAAAAATCATTTTACTAATTGGATTTAACTTACCCTTTCTGTCACAGAAAACTGATGGGTGTCTGCTGAAATTTTGTATGTATGCAGTTTTGTTGGCACAACTGTAATAAAATACTGGAACATCTGGTTGTCTAGAATAAAAGCAAATTGTGTTTTTTTTCATCAATCCAGTAGCAACAAAACTACTGCCAAATATATCGTCCTCCTATTAAACACATTAACCAGAAATCTAATGCTACTTGTGACTTAATGCCTAACAAAAAATAATTTTAAAAGACTAAATGAAATCAATAAATACTTGATAAAATAATTTCTCTGTAAGCATATTTCAAATAGTCACATATATATCTTTTATAAGACATTTAAAAGGATGAACTACTCACTGAGATATCTTTGTAATCATTACCATCCTTATATCAAATATGAAAAAAAAAAGCATTCCTTTATAGTACAGAAACTAGTAAAAATAGTTACAATACTATAACCATCATAAGACATATTTTCAGTTTCTTCTAATATCTTAAGATATGTAAGTAAACCAACATTGAATTAGCCACCCTTTGGTTAAATATAAGGAAACTGATACCACAGCAGAAACTAAGTGAAGGAACTATTCAATGATGGCCTGGGGTTATTGTGTAATCAAAAGGATCATATTTATATAGTTACTAGAGGCCCAGTGTATGAATTCATGCACAGGTGGGGTCCCTCAGCCTGGCTGACAATCCGGGCTGCAGGAGGTTGGCTGGCCAGGGGGAAGGCAACCCACCTCTTCCGCCAGGCCCGCCTCCTCCACAGGAGGCAGCAGAGAGGCTGGGACTGGCCTCCTTCAAGTTGCGCAGAGCTAAAGGACCCCCAAGCCTCACCATGCAGAGCAGCGGCCGGGCCCCACCTCTACTGTGCTCACAGCCATCTTATGATGACATTGCGTAAGGGAGTGACACCATCTAGGCTTTTATTATATAGTATAATAATAATAATAATAATAATCCACCCACATTTAAATAAATTTAAATTTTAAATGGAATAAAAGGTTAAAACAGTAACAAAAGGTACCTGTGCTATAATGTACAAGCATGTCAAAACTCGTGGCCCAGCCAATATAACGAACGGTATGTCAGAAATATTTTAATAAAAATTTCATAATGTGATTTTTTCAAGAACCTGTTATATATAATTATTAATAGTGAACCATAATGTTCGCTAATGACTGATTACTATAAACATGTTGCATTCATTTCCCTGGCACACCTTAAGTGCAGGTGTACCATTTCCCTCCACTAATACTAGTAGCGAATATTTTAGCAGCTGTCTGCTGTGTCATTAGTCTTGGACTAACTTGTTCAGTGTGCACACAGGAAATATTTTGCTTTTGGAAAGCAAGGAAAATAGACTTATTTGCGTTACGCTCATTAATTTGTGCAGTTATTCATTGTCTGGTAAATTAATGTTCAAGAAAAAATATTTTTATTAAGATGGTCTATTCTTTTATGTTAACAATTACTCATTTATTTCAGCCTTTTGTATTCATCATGTCTCTATCAAAATAAACCTACGTTTCTATGAAAATTGAAGCTTTTGTTTTTTGCGGCCCACATAAACTTAAATCTTGTTTATTTGGTCCATGTTAGCCTTTCAATATGACACGCTTGATGTACAACATCTATGTTAATAACCAAACCATTCTAGAATAACTGTACGTTTCTGATGCCTACAAAATTCTGCCGAGGTTTCCATAGTGGTAAATATGCATTTTAGAACTATGAACCTATTACCAAGAAGAAAATTCTTCTTAAGACTGTTGAAACTTCCTTTTGTTCTCATTCTTTCTTTAATGAATATGGGAAAGCAGTTATGTCCTATTAACATATTAATCTTTCATACATTTTTAAAAAAAATATATTTTATTGATTTTTTACAGAGAGGAAGGGAGAGAGATAGAGAGCCAGAAATGTCGATGAGAGAGAAACATCGACCAGCTGCCTCCTGCACACCCCCCACCGGGGATGTGCCCGCAACCAATGTACATGCCCTTGACCGGAATCGAACCCGGGACCCTTCAATCCGCAGACCGACGCTCCACTGCTGAGCCAAACCGGTTTCGGCAATCTTTCATACATTTAGAAAGTTTTTAAGTTCTACTCCTCTAGCCTATATTAAATTCTAATTTTTTACTCTACTCTATGGCTCATTTTTTTTTTTTTTTAACATTTTAAATATTATCCACTGGTAGAATAATATTTAAAATGTTAAAAAAATGGTAGGACAAAGTCTTTCCAGACACATCTCACTTAATGTTATCAACCACTTAAACTACTTCAAAGATTTATCTGCTTATCTGTTACAAGTGGGTTAAGAGTATTATTACAAATGTATTAATATTAAAGATATTTAAAAACTGCCTACATGCAAATTCCAACAATAAGTATTAAGTACTTACAATCTATAGCAATTTTTTCAGTTCCATCTAAAGGATTAATAATTCCTGGAACAAGCTCTCCAAATGACAAATGGTCTATTCTGTGAGAAAAGTTGTATGCTGAAGCAAAAAATAAAACCAATTAAGAGGAGAATTATTGTTATTTAAAACACATTACAGATGGCTTCACATTTTTATCTATTTTCAGATGAAAACATCTAAAATCTGCAGGTATAATAAAATAGTATTTAAAACCACATTCATTTTGAGAAAAATGCATATAAATATCTGGGAATTAAATGCATAAAAGTAAGTAAATTCTGATAAAATGCTATATCTCAAATTTCATGATTATATATAAATCAATGTCTGAGAAATAATATTAGATGTAAGCCTGATAACCCCAAAATAAGTCTTTTCCTGGTCTAATTACCATCTAGTAAAAGAATTATGTCATTTATTTTCTCCTATGGATATCTGTTTTCAAAACAGTCCACTTTCAAAGCCCTATCTTGCATCTGCAATAAAATAAACAATCAAAACACTTTTCTTTCAAAGACCTCTTCATGGAAAAATATTTCAGAAACTGCTTACAGTCATGGTTGACAAGTGCTGCCAAATGTGCATGACCTCGGGGATGTGGAATTGCCCTGAAAGGAGGAAAAAAGATTAAAGAAACTAAAGTAATTAGTTAAATATATAACTAAATTAAAATCTAAAGAGGGGTCTTATCTTTTCTAAGTTATATAATTTTCTTAACATAAAATAAAAACATGTTTAGCCTATGACTTGTTAGTCTACTCATCTCAACAATTTAATAAATTGGGGGTTGGCAAACTTTTTTCTGTAAAGATCCATATAGTAAATATTTTAAGCTTTGTAGACCAAGACACAAAATTGAAGATATTATGTAGTTAGGCACATAAATAAACTTTCAACTTCAAATAAGCATGGCTAATGTTTTACAGTAAAACTTTATTTTTGGATACTGAAATTTGAATTTCATGTATTTTTCATGTCCTATGATATATTACTCCAAATAAATTTCAATGAAGGAAAGGTTATTGAAAATCAGAGGGCACTGGGGGGAGGCATTTTCAGTTGTCTTGGTCATTGGAGAGCTCTATTGGCATTCAGTGAACAGAGGCCAAGGAAGGAAGGCATCCTGCAAGGTGATGACAGTCTCACACAAAATAAAATTGTCTCACATCGTGCAAAACCATCCCACATCTTACATGACACTCTTAAAAGGTATTTACATAGGTGAAAAACCTATGTATAATGACCTGAGTCTAGAACTTAACTCCATTTATCTAAAAAAAGTACTTTGTTATAGTTTCAATATACACTAAATTTCTCAGGAAACAAGAGGAAATGTTATTTTTGTTTTGTTCACAGTATTACAAAAGTTGTTCACTATTTCAGAGTATCAGTTCCACAACAGAAATACTATTCATGATATTTGAGTGGCCAACACATGTTTCAGTCTGCATATGCAGCTGTTGTAATAGACATATAAGTGGCAAACATCTGCCTATTTAATGTAATCATGCTCAACAATCTGCATATTGAACTAAATAGTTCTTTATAATACAGTTTAAAAATGATACTATGCCTGAGAGGTAATGAGATCGTAAAAAAAAATAAAAAAATCAATATTGAATTTGACAAACCTATTACCAAAAAATAGGAGTGGTTTATAGGATACTTCAGAGATTTTAAGATACAAACCAGATGCTTTTCAATTTGGCCTCTCCTATTGCTAGAATGAGTTATCACATGAAGAGATAGGTGAAATTGGGCACAAAGGCTATAATTATGGATGTTCATATAGTATTTGTTAACAGAGTTTTGCACTTTCACAGTTAGCTTTGGAGTAGGATATTATTTGTGGGTGTCAACCTGTGAATCAGGAGGTCACAGTTCAATTGCAGGTCAGGTCACATGCCTGGGTTGCGCTCAATCCCCAGTAGGGGACATGCAGGAGGCAGCTGATTCTCTTTCATTGTTGATGTTTCTATCTCTCTTCTCCCTTACCCTATGAAATCAAAAATGTATTTTTTTAAAAAACAAAGAATATTAAAAAGAATTGGACAACAAAAACAAAAAATGTTTGATCTGATCACTATAAATTCTGAAATAATTTTGCATATATGTCTCTAAATATATATACAATCTTCAGCCACTTTCTTTCCTGCTTTGTAACCTTTCCCTGAGTGTAGATGTCTTTTTCTCCTTTATATATAAACTTGCTAATCATCCACTAGTTTGAACAGTTATGGTTATCCTCAATAAAGCCTCTGCTGACAAGCAAAGTAGGTTAGGTATCTTGTTATATAGTTTCCTATCAACCATACTTCTCCTTTTTAGGTTCAATGCAACTATAGTGATAATAGTTATTAGTTCAATTTTGGATTCTCTCAGACTGTCAGTACGAAATGGACAAAAACTCCCTTTTTTCACTGTTTCATTCTTAGTATCTACCATATTACTTTGCATATAACAAGTACTCAAAAATGTCTTTTACAATGAAGATGTTCAGTTCTGCAACTCAAGACAAATACAGGAAGGGAGAGAGAATCAGAGAGTCCATTCAGAAATTTACCAAGTATTCATTACAAAACAATTTCTGTGAAGAGTGCAGCTTATGAAGGCCGATGACCTAATATTTTTCCTTAACTGTTATCTAATTTATCTTTTTCCCAAACACTACTAATTTCTAACTATCTCAAAATACCTGTCTCAAATTAGTTAGGATTTACATTTTGGTGACAATTACCAAAGAGAGAAAAAATACCATCCAACAAAATAAGCAAATTAATGAAATGTCTAGGTAAGAACTTCCAGGCTACTAAAACTTGGTAAGTAGGTTTTAATTCATATTGTACCTATAGCTCATTTACTTTAACATATAAAATATGACGTGACTGTTTAACTTTATTTTAAAGTAGTATTAAAGTTAGTAGTCTTCTCTACCTTGAAATTAAAGCCTGGACAAATCTCAAGACATCAAAAATACAGACACAAAACATTTAAATCTCTCTTAGTAGTTAATCAGATATTATTTTAGCAAAGAATTTACTTTTAACAAACTGACAACTTGTCTAAAGTATTTTTCAGTAGGTGAAAAGAACATACTTGCCCACAGTTATGTGAAAATTCCCCGCTACTTTATTGACATATAGATGACCATGAATTCTGCAAGCATTGGGAGGCTGTGATAAATCATCTTCCCTATTATAACAAGATATGCAAGAATTATTTACAGCACATACAATATCGTCACCAGTATTGATCTGTAAGAATCAATTTTCAGGTAATTTTCTAAATGTCAAAGTGGAAAAGCAGTTTTTTGAGGTCTGTACATTTTTTAAAAAGCATATATCTATGAAATAGAAAAAAATTCCATAATTATTATTTATATATTACATTTTCACAAATCTAAAATTCCATGGTTCTTCAAATCTAACCAAAGGAGTAAGTCCCACGATAGAAGAAAGATTAAAAGTAAATAATCAGTCCAACAAAGACAACTTTCATCATCTGTTTTTGGTACTTAAGAGGATAGGAGAGGATGGGACTATAAATGAGGTAAGAGAAAGGCATGCCATCTAAGTTCAAATAGACAATGACATTTTCTTTCTAAGCAAATGTAAAAACTTTTCAATAGTTTTAGATTTAAATGATCATTTCATGATTATAACATTTCCAACTATCAGTTATTCTGATCTATAAAAAAAAAGCTAAAAAACCCCACAAAATTCCTAATCAAAATTCATTCATCCTCATAATATTAAATGCAATTAATTTGTTCTTAAAATATAACAATTTTATATAGAGGTATACCATGCACACATAAGAGAAAAATGAAATAAAATGAAATACAGTGAACACTTAAACAACGCAAGTGTTAGGATTACTGAAATTCACATATAGCTTCTGATTCCACCAAAACTTAACACAATTGTCCCTTAGTATCTATAGGGGATTGGTTCTAAGACTTAAGGGTACCAAAATTCGGGAATGCTCAAGTAGCCTGTATAAAATAGCATAGCATACAGTTGGCCCTCTACACCTGTGGAGTCCCAACCACAGATGGAAAATAGTACAGGTTATTGAAATAAATCTGTGTATAAGTGGACCTGAGAAGTTCAAACCAATGTAGTTCAAGGATCAACTGTATTTGTGATAATACTGATCAGTATCACAGACTATAACTTTAAGAGTAAAAGGACAATTTAATCATACAGAATGATTACATTTTCTCTGAGAAATATGATATCTAGAGAAATGAATCAATGCTAAAATGATGTCAAAGTAAGTATATTAATAAATAGTTGCACATTTAAAATATACACCTCACCTTAGTGAGAGTGCTGTTGAACTATTAAAAGCATCAACAAAATGAAGAAAACCCACTGAATGGAAGAACATACTCACCAATACATCTAGGTGATAAGGGCTTAATATCCAAAATTTATAAGGAACTTACACAACTCAACAACAACAAAGAAAAACACAACTCAATTGAGAAATGGGCAAAGAACCTGAATAAACACTTCTCCAAAGAGGACAGATGTACAGATGACCAAAAGACATATGAAAGGATGCTCAATGTCACTAACCATCAGGGAGATGCAAATTAACTACAATGAGGTATCGCCTCACACCTGTCAGAATGGCTATCATCAATAAATCAACTAACAAGTGCTGGTGAGGATGTACAGAAAAGGAAACCCTAGTGCACTATTGGTGGGAATACAAATTGGTGCAGGTACTGTGGAAAGCAGTATGGAGTTACCTCAAAAAATTAATAATGGAACTGCCTTATGATCTAACAATTCCACTTCTGAAAATATATTGGGGGAAAAACCCAAAACATTAATTCAAAAGAATATATGCACCCCTATATAATGCAGCATTATTTACAATAGGCAACTTTTAGAAGCAGCCCAAATGCCCATCAGTAGATCAGTGGATAAAAAAGTGTTACATCTACCCAATTATTCAGCCGTAAAAAAAAAGAAATCTGACCTTTTGTAACATCATGGGGTGGACCTGGAAAGTATACAACTCACCTTGATGGAAGGGGAATTGGACTTTTAATAGCACTTTTAAATAGCACATCTTGAAGTGAATGTTCTTCTTGTAGTCTACTCTGAATCAGCTGCAGCATCCTAAATATAACACAAACAATAGCTTACAAATACAGTAAGATACACAAAGGAAGCCAACCCTTTTTAAATAATCATAATAATTAGATGACTAAGCTAAGCCATCTATTTATTATTATAGGACTTTATTCTAATCCTGGAGGTCCAGTGTATGAAAATCCATACACTGGGGGGTTCCTTCAGCTCGGCCTTCCCCCTCTCACAGCCAGGGAGCCCTTAGTGGATGTTCTACTGATGGCTTAGAGGAGTGGGCCTAAGCCGCAGACTGGCCTTCCTCTGCCGTAGGCGACTGGGCTGATCGGGGGAGGTGATGTCCCCATCACGCCTCTGCTGAGCCACTGGCAGCAGTCTGGCCCTGGCAGCAGCAGCTGCCATCCGTCCGGAAGGACATCCAGAAGACGTCCACTGTAATTAGCATATTATCCTTTTATTAATATAGACAAAGTATCAAGTTTTCTTTGTTCATTTTCCTTGAAAGTGGAAAGAGTGAGGTAGAGTGGCTATAGGTCTAATAAGTGGGCTGCACAATAAAACTGTCTGATTTCATCAATAATGGATGTGCAGTCTGAATCACTAATAAGTAGCTTTTGCTCATCTGAATATCTAAATTCATGCACGCATGCAATTATACAATTCTTACTTTTTGTCAGGCATTAAATAACATGTTATAAATACAGAGGAAGTTAGACAAATCAGAAGCCACACAATAGATCAGATATACTTAAAAGTGGGTAATAACTGGAGGATAAAGCCAGAGCTTTATCAATTTCTCATCTCAACCCAGGCCATGGTGCCATTTAATATCACCTGGTATCTCCTTTTCTGTAGAAACCTGAGCTTTATTCTATTCCAACACCATTCTAAGCAAAGTAATATATTCTACCTGTAACTTTTACAAAGAATATCAACATATAAGGCAGAGGATTATAAAAAAACAAAGTTACATTCGAGAACACATGAGCAGATTTTATTTTTTTTAAACTTTTATTGATTTTTAGAGAGGAAGGAAGAGGGATGAGAGATAGAAATAGAAACATCAATGAGGACAGAGAATCATTGATCAGCTGCCTCCTGTACGCCCCCTAACGGGGATTGAGCCCGCAATCCAGGCATATGCCCTTGGCAGGAATCGAACCTGGGAACTTTCAGTCCGCAGGCCAACGCTCTATCCACTGAGCCAAACCAGCCAGGGAGTGATTTTCTTTTTAAATATACCTAGCACAAAGAATGAATTGGTTGCTTGAAGATATTTTGAACAAAATGTGTATGTTCACAATAACTTATGAAATTATTCCAAACAACAAAACCAAAAATAAAAGTTTTCCTCTTAATATTTCTACCTTTGTGCATATTATCTTCTATCATTTTCAGCAATAACTTTGTATCTTCAAAATTATTTTACCTTCTTTAATTTCACTGAACATTGTTTCAATATTAGAATCTTGCAAGTAATCTATCCATCAGAAATGATCCAATTAAGTATAGTTTATTCATAAAACAAGACTGCTACGTGTACTTAAACGGGAAATTGTACAAAATACCATGTTAGATGAAAAAAAGCTTGGTATTGAACAGACATGAATTAGAAAAAAATAACGTATAGGACATTATATATGAACAGAAAATTTCTAGAAGGCTACACAAGAAACCTGATTATTACCGATAGTCATCAGTATTAGGTTTATGGAATGCTGAGGAGGCTTTTACTTTTATATTGTATCCTTTCTGTCCAAACTGAATGTTAATCAATGATCAAATATTGTCTTTAAAATTTTTTTAAATAGTTAATAAAATTTTAAATGAAACCTAAAGTGTACTATGATTCAAAGTCCATTAGAAATAGAATTAACATGACTTTAAGATCTGATAAAATTTTTGAAGGTGTAAAGATTATATTATATGATATATTCTGCTAATATTACATCCAAAGATATGCCTAAGTAAATATGCCAATCTATGAAGTCACAATAAACAAAACAGACAAAATGGGATCTAGATTTCTTTGGACCACAGTACTTAGTATACTTATTACCTCTGCCACTCTTTTTGCTGTGGAGAGAGATCAAACATTACCTAAAATAAAGAAAAACATAATTATCAACATTGTTTATTTCTCTTGGCTTTTATATAATAATTTTTAAAAATATTCTTTGAACAAGAAACAAATTTATAGTGTTGTAAAAAACAAGTATTCATGTTTATATTGAATCTTCTATCTATAAGTCAACCTAAAATTTTTAAACTATTTTTATTTAAAAGTAGTATAAAGAAATATTAATAATTTAAATAATGCCAGAATAAAACTTTAATTAAAAAGGAAAAGAGAAAAAAATACAGTGTAAGTGTAATATTAAATCTTCCAAAGCCCATATTTTTGCTGGGATAATACCATGATCAGATCAACATTCTTTTTAAATGAGCTTAAAAAAAAAAGCACTGTAATTCTTAAATGTGTTAATCATTAAAGAATAATTCAAGAAATTTTATTCGAGCATTAACTTCATCAATTCAAAATCTGATGTGGCTACTTTTATTAGAATGAAATATGAAAGCTTCTCATGGTTTGAGACAATATCCACAATTTAAAATTAAATTGCAACAAAAAGTCCACTTTTTATTTTCATAAAAGTAATTCTTAATAAAGCATATTAATTGTACTTTTTAACTTATTAGCATTATTAGTTATCCCTCAATAATTGGGCCCTAACTTTCACATTCTCTTTACAAATACTTGCTTTTAAAAAAAAGAGGAACAATCCCTCATTCTATCAAACAGTTCTGCCTTTGTGCCTTTGGTTATTTAATTATACCAACCTGGAACATCCTTCTCCTGTAATTATGACCCTTATGGCTTCCTAAACTCTATAAATCATATACACCAAGTTAAATTGTCCCATCTTTCTGATTTCAATAAGTTTATTCTGATTTCTTCTCCTGCTAAACTTGTCTGCAGCATGATTCTCTTTTCACACCACTGCACACAAAGGTAATGCTAATATCTGAAAATCACCATGGAGTTTCTCCCCAGTTACCTTATGAATAAAATGATTAGAAGTAGAGACAGAAAAAAATGGCGTGATCTGCACAAAATCTTAAAGGTAGAAAATATAATCACTAAATTTTAAAACATAATGAGGACATTGAAAAGAAGATTGGTCCTTTTGGATCAAGATAATCTCCCAGAACTCAGAGGCAAAGTTCAAAATATATATTTAATGCGAAGATTAATAAAGATACGGAGAACCACTCCAGAAAGTTCATCATCATATGATCATTTGAAAAAGAGGTGAAAGCAATGCTCTGAATAGCATTAAAGCAAACAAGCAAAAACACTTAAAAAGTAAGATTACCAAGGACCAAAAACAAAAAAACTAAAGGAGATATACCCTTGGATATAAAGAATAAATATTTGATTTCAAAAGTGAAAGAATAAAAAAGCATACAAACTCTAAGAGAAAACTATTAAAAAGCATTAACAAAAATATAAAATAAGAATAAAGTTATAAAACAAACATTAAAAGCTTATTAAAAATGCTAATAATGGCTATCTCAAGATTTTAGTATTAGATAAAACTTTCCCCCCCTAAATTTTTACAAATAATATGGATTACTTTTGCATTAAGAAAATATATTTTAAAAACTAGCTGAAACAAAACCAATAGAAAATATCAAAACTATTTTTAAGGGACAATTTCTCAAAGCATATTATAGTAAAAAAAACATTTGAATCAAACTTACTGGTTCATAAACTAGACCATCTGCAGATGCAACCATTGTTTCTGCTAAATCCAATACATCTGCTCCAATATCTGCATTTAAAAAAAAATTAAAAGTTTTACATTCTATGCTAAGTGTCAAACTGTATCTGATATAAAGTAACAAACTAAGATGACTAACAGAAAACTCACTTTCCTATACTGGTTAAAATTATAGATTTGATAGAAATTAATTTTAAAAAATGTTTTTTCTACTTTTTACACAGTAAAAAAATGACTCAGCATTTCATGGTAAAACATATAAACTTTATTGAAGAGCTTTGCAAAACTTGGAACCTACCCTCAAGTAGTAAATGGCTGCTACACAAACTATTAATTACAAGGATTATTTTTAGAGATTAAAATAAACCTTAAGGCAAAGCTACTTGTGAATTTTTAAATATCGATAGAAAGTTCATTTTGAAAATGCTAAAATTCTAATGGTGTTCAAATACCTAAAATAAGGTAAAATAATATATTCAGCATTAACACTAGCTCATAATTTGGATACAAATTATTTCTCTTAAAACCACTAACGTAAGGAAAAATAAATGGAAACAGAAAAGAAATCTAAGTCTGTTCTAAGATAAAATCTCCCCCAAAATAATTTCCTTAATGGGGTAATACTATTTAACACTTTTAAAAATTTTATCTGAACTACTGAATTCTCATCTCTACTTTTCAAGTGGTAGTTTAAAAGACAGCTTCCATGCAAAAGCATCCTCATTTTTTTTTCTGGGAACTTGCATTTTTAGATTTTTTTTTTAAATGTATTGATTAAGGTACTACCTATGTGTCCTTATTGCCCCCATTTCCCCCCTTATCCCTCCTCATGCCCTCACCCCCCTGTTGCCTGTGTCCATTGGTCAGGCTTATATGCATGCATATAAGTAAGTCCTTTGGTTGATCTCTCCCCCTTCCCCCCACCCTCCCCTACCTTCCCTGCGAGGTTGAATGGTCTGATCGATGTTTCTCCTCATTTTTTAAGAGCACTACTGATTCAAACATTACCTAAAATACATATTAACTTTTTTTATTTTTTTACTTCTACCAATATAATCAAGTAAAGTTAGTGAAGAAAACAGAAATCACTATTAACTTAAAATATTTGGATCTGTATTTTAATACGCAAGAGTAAAAAGGGCAGTAAGTTAAAAGAGTGAAACAGGATATTCTTGAAGAACATAAAAACTGGTAGTTCACATAAGAAATAAATAAAGGATATACCTAAATTAAAACTCTGATTCAGATAGATATCTCTCTCCCTCTCCCTGCCTTGTTCTGAAATCAATTAAAAAGATACACATATTTTAAAACTTGGATTCACAAAAATTTCCTCCTATATTTTTTAATTATTTGAATGTGAAAGTTCTTCTCTTTCTGGATAAGAAATTTAAAGAATATAATTTGGGGAGAAAAACAACATACATTATTAAATAGCACTGCAACAGCATGTTAAGACATCATAAAAGAAAAATAAAGTTAAAAGATAATGAGTGGTTTTTACTTTTTACTAGCAATTGTTTAAACAACTATATGTACTTACACTGACATTTCATGGCAACAGTAATATCTATATTGATTCTCAATTTGCTAAAAGACAAAAAAGAAACTTTAGTACCTACCAAGTAATCAACAAAACGTGAGAAATATAAAACAATTTTATGAAAAACTAGGATTTCAAAACTATGTCGATTAGAACTTGGATAGTATTTTTTATGGCAAAGTCACTTTAAAAGTTAAAATTCTATTTTGCAATTATTCCAAAAGACTTTCACAGGTTTTTAATATAGTATTCTGCAATTTAATTTTACTAAATTAAGTAACTCCAAGAAACTCAGAAAAATAAGTTTTAAACTTTGTTTACATAAGCCTTATGTAGAATATTCCTTTAAAACTTTTAAAATCAAGAGTTAGGAATTGCAAGTCTTTCTCCTCTTTTTATCAAATAAATACTATACATCAGGCATTATACCTGACTCCTTACAAGTATTATCTCCTTTATTCTTTATCATGGACATGTAATTGGGTAGCTTCACAGTTCTGTAGATAAGACAATAGTGTTCAGGGCAGTATAAATGCCTGGCTTAAGATCACATACCTATTGTATTGGCTTATGAAAAACTAGGTCTGTGTGACTTGATAAATGCAATCAAATTGCCATAAAAAGCCTCTCAGGCTTCACGTTTTGCATGATCTTCCTAAAAGGTTCAACTAATGATTTATTTCCAAATGATGAATTTAAATTGAATTAATTTTTAAATATTACAATCAATTAAGCACCATGAATAACAGAATGAGTACTGTCAATATTAGTTTTCACCATGAATAACAGAATGAGTACCATCAGTATCTGTTTTCCCTGGGCTATCAAAACTTTTTTCACTCTAATAATTTGAATCTGATTTCAATAGAAGTTTTTAGAGCTCTAAAAGATTTTCCAATAAATTTTTAAGAGCTTCATAGTCTTCCAGTTGTCTAGATTCAAGCAGTGCTCTACTAATCCAGAGGTTTATGCACAAGAGATATGGTAGGAACCAGTGATGACCAATTAGGCAAGCTTTTGCGGTAAGCTATATTAAGAGTCCATTTGAAAAAAATAAAGTGCTTCATTGGTGCTACAAATAAACAAAGTAAGGAAAATAACAAATCTCTTAAAAACCTACATTATCAAGAATAATACACAAGGTATAGATAAAGAAGCTGAGGCCCAAAAGAAGTAAGCTGTGTGACTTACCCAACGTTATACAGCAATTTATAAATGTTTTACTTCTCACTAGTGTCATGAGTAAAGTACTATGATTATTTTCCCCATTTAATAAAAAAAGTAGCTGAAGCATATGCATATACAGATTTAGTAACTTCTATAGCTACTAAATGCAGAACTGGGATTGAAATTGAGAAGTAAATGTCTCCCTTATCCAGTACAATCTTTATAATATAAACCTGTTATCTTCAATCAATTAAAATCCAAATACTACAAATAAAATAAGGTATACTTTGTCGCCTTATTAAGGTAGTATATTTTCAAAGTTTTAAGTGATATTATTTACATTAAAGTTAAATTTAGATATAATTTATAAAAATCAAGTTACAAATATAAATAACATATATTTAAAGAATATATTTTCCAAATTACACAGATCAGTATTTCAAATTCTAAAGAGTAAACAATTTTAAAACATTAAATAATTCCTACCTGTTCAACACATTAAAATAAAAACATATTATAGTCTCCTAACTTTTTTATACAGTGCATATTAAATCAGAGAACCTCCCTCTTATAATTTAACCAGTATTCAAAATATTCTAAAATGATTCTAATGCATTAATTATGAGAAGTTATCAGAACTAATTCTTCAGAACTAAAATAAGCCAAATATAAAAGACATTTTTTAAAAAGGTATGTTATCTTTAAAACAATTTGAATCTAAAGGTATTTCAAGAAAAAAAAAGTTACCTAGAAAAATCCTTATCTACTTCATATTCATACTTCATCCATGTATCCTGATACACTGAAAATTCCATTATGGTTAATAAAGCCATAGTAGTGAATGCTATTAAAGAAACTGAGAAATCAAACAAAAAAGAGTTAGAGAATTAAAACAATTTTGTAAAACAATAGGAAACTATTTTTAGTGAAATTATATATATATGAATGTCTTAATGCTTGTCATGTGAATTATTACAATAAAGTTTTTTTTAAATGTGCAGTATAGATTTTTTCTAAAACAGCTCAAAAATATTTAACAAGCACAAAAATTAACTCAAATATTTATATTATTGAGAAAGCATTTTATTTCTTCAATATTACAAGACATCAAACTTTTACTTTCTTATACATAGCAGTGTCACAGACATAATAAATATTTCACAATACAAATTTGAAAATAGTGCCCTCATAATTAAAAATGGGTCCATGCCTGCAGCCCAATTAAAAAAAATAACATACATCTCAAATCTCTTATAACACTCTCATGTACTTTTGAATCTCTTAAACATACTACTTCATTTATAAAAGCAACTCAAAGGTGAGAAAAAGGAAAGAACTATCATATATAATACTATGACAAAACACCCTTAAAATTTATTGTACCACAAGAACTTACACTATTTTTATTAACAAAAATCAATCATGAGATTAGAAATAGCAAGCAATTTTGTACACATTTACCAAATGAAACATATTATGTTATTAGCTCTTCAGAGAAAAGAAATAATAGTAAATACTATTATAGTTCCATATTTTTCTTACATATTCCATTATTTATTTATTTTATTTAACAACTAGAGGCATTGTGCACGAAATTCGTGCAGGGGGGGTAATCCCTCAGCTCAGCCTGCACCCTCTCCAATTCAGGACCCCTCAAGGGATGTCCGACTGGCAGTTGGACAACCCTCTCACAATCCAGGACTGCTGGCTCCCAACTGCTCACTTGCCTGCCTTCCTAATTGCCCCTAACCACTTCTACCTGCCAACCTGATCACCTCATAACCACTCCCCTCCCAGCCTGATGGATGCCTGTTTCCCTGCCACCCTGTTTGCCCCTAACTGCCCTCTCCTGCAGACCTAGTCACCCCTAACTGCCGTTCCCTGCAGGTCTGGGTCCCTCTCAACTGCCTTCCGCTGCTGGCCTGATTACACACAAATGCCCTCCCTTACAGGCCTGGTCCCTCCCAACTGCTTTCCCCAGCTGGCCATCTTGTGGTGGCCATCTTGTGTCCACATGGGGGCAGGATCTTTGACACCATCTTGTGTGTTGGAGTGGTCAATCTGCATATTACTCTTTTATTAGATAGGATAGAGGCCTGGTGCACAAGTGGAGGCCAGTTGGTTTGTCCTGAAGGATGTCCCGGATCAGGGTGGGGGTTCTCTTGGGGCATGGGGTGACCTGGGCGAGGGGGTCTGTGGTTGTTTGCAGGCTAGCCACGTCTCCTGGCGACCTAAGCAGAGGCCCTGGTATCTGGGGTTTATTTATCTTCTACAATGAAACTTTGTAGCCTGGAACGGAGCCAAGCTTTCTGCTCGCTCTGTGGTGGCAGCCATTTTTGTTGGGATTAATTTACCTTCTATAATTGAAACTTTGTAGCCTTAAGGAGAGGCCTAGGCTGGCCAGGTTGTATGGAAAGCTTGACTTCCTCCATGGCTGGTGAAAGCCAAGCCTCCCTCCTGTTCTCTGTGGCTGTAGCTATCTTGCTTAGTTTATTTGCTTATTTGCTCCTGACTGGCTGGTGAGCATGGCTTGTGGGTGTAGCAGAGTGATGGTTAATTTGCATATTACTCTTTTATTAGATAGGATTACTTCTATCGGTACCAGGTACTATTCTAAGCATTTTATAAATATTAACTTATTTAATCATTACAGCAACCCTATTATGTAAATATTGATATCATCCCCATTTCATGGATGAACAAACTAAAGCAGAGGCCAGAGGTGTATGATTAACTTCCTCAAAGTCATTTAGTTAGGAAGGAAGAAGGGTGATTTAAATCCTTACATCTGGTTCCAAATCCAAGTTCCTATTACCCTATGCTGCCTCTCTACAGTAATGTGAAATTTAAGAATTTTATTATAATGTATAAATTGATTTATTCTTAACCAAAAAGGCACTGAGCCAGTTTCACATTATTAAATAACTTCTTCCAAGTTAAATTATATTTGCATGTAATCATCCTATTAATATAATTATACATAACTCAATAGCAATAAAGCAGTAAAATTGGATTAACTTATTCCATAATGTTTTAATGAATACTGTTAAATGCTTGGGCTACACTGAGTTAGATATCAAAGAGATATCTATAATAATAAAAGAGTAATATGCTAATTTGAATGGACAGCCTAACAACCTTCCGGACATCATTCTGTATATCCTTCTGGACTAAGCCACAATGGCAGGGACAGAGGCAGACATGGTTAGAGGCAATCAGGCAGGCAGGCAGGCAGTGTGGTTAGAGGCGATCAGGCAGGCAGGTAAGTGCTTAGGGGCGATCAGGCAGGGAGGCATAGTGGATAGGGGCAATCAGGCAGGCACACAGGCACGTCAGTGGTTAGGAGCCAGCAGTCATGGATTGAGAGAGGGATGTCCGAATGCTGGTTTAGGCCCGATCCCACAGGGATCCCAACTGCTGGTTTAAGGATTGGGCCTAAACCGCCATTTGGATATTCACTGAGAGGTCCTGGACTGCAAGAGGGTGCAGGCCAGGATAAGAAACCCATCTGCTCCCCCCATGCTCAAATTTCATGCACCTGACCACTAGTATCCTAAATATAAAGAGGTAATATGTAAATTAACCTTCATGCCCTCACAAGAAGCTGCCTACAACCAGGCCGGCCAGGGGTTAGTGAAGGACAACCGAACAAATAAACAGCAGGCTGTGTGGGGCATCCAGGCCAGCAGGGGGGTTAGTGAGGGACGACCAAAGGACTGAACAAGCAAGCAGTGTGGGGCGACCAGGCTGGCAGGGGGGATTAGTGAGGGATGACCAAATGACAGAATAGCAGGCTGCATGGGGCGACCAGGCTGGTGGGGGCTCTGAGAGGCAACCAGGCCAGCGGGGGGGGGGAGGGGGGGGCAGTTGGGGGCAATTAGGCTGCTGGGGGCGCAGTGAGGAAAAACTAGTCTGGCAGGGGGGCAGCAAGGGGTGACCAGGCCAGCAGGGGGGATAGTTAGGAGCAACCAAGCCAGCAGGGAGGGTGGCGGTTGGAGGCAACCTGGCTGGCAGCAGGTGCAGTTAGGGGTAACTAGGCTGGCAGGAGGGCAGTTAGGAGTGATCAGGCCAGCACACAGAGGCAGTGAGGGACAATCAAGGAATGTCCAACTGCCAGTTTAGGCCTGATCCCCCAAGTGGTCACAGATTGGAAAGGGTAAAGGCTGGGCTGAGGGAACCCCCTCCCCATACACGAATTTCATGCCCTGGGCCTCTAGTGTATAATAAAATTATAGCAAAACAGCATCACATAAAGGACAGACCAATTACAAAGTTATATGTTGATGAGTTCTTCCTCATGGCTCTATTTCTGTATGTTGTTAAATGGATCGCTAAGAAACTGCATTTAGTGTAACAGTTTTAATTTGAATTGATACTCACCTGTCCCCCCACTGGCTGAAGTCTCTACATAGCTCTCAGGAACCTTTGGAAAGGCATCCAACTCTTTCACCAAATTTAAGGTTTTTTTTCGATTCAGTCGCCTCATCTTCAGGAAAACCTTCTCCTTTCATATAGTCATGCTAAGAAATAAACAATGAATAAATGTATCCTCGAAAAAGAAAAAAGGTTTATTTTTTTGAAACTAATAAATGTCCTTAGAAGAACTTAATATTCTCATTCCTCCTTGAAAAAAACAAAAACTTAACATTTATTCATATCTTTCCTTTTTTCCATCCCCACCCTGACAAACACAAACACATAAAGTAGGGGGGGGGGGGGGGAAAGTAGTCAATCATATTTATAATATTTAAATATACAAATCAAAATACATATTTCTCCTATTAAGTTTACATATATAGGATATCCCAAAAATATGTATATACACTTTAACAGCTGATAACTCACTTAATTTTCACTCCTTTTCAGGTTCAAATGATTTGAAATAAGGGATGAAGCCAGACTAGACTTTGAACAAAAAAAATTTATCCTAAAGTGCCACTTGACTTTTTTTTATGGTGATATATAAAAGATAAAGTTTACAGCATAAAGTCAGCACAGTGGCCAAATTGAGGGCACACAAATACTGAAATAAATAATTCTAGATGTTTGTGATTCCATTGCTTCGAGTTATCAGCACTGCCTGGACCAGAGCAATTATCAGCTTGAAAATAGTCATTAACAACAACAAAATTCATTTTTGTGGATTCTTTTAAATTTTGAAAATGAACTGTATGTAAATAAACACTGGCATTATAATCATTCAAAGTGAGCATACATTTTAGGGGGACATCCTGTGTAGAAAAAATAATACATTCTCACTAGTAAATGACAATGAAGCAAATTAAGCATGCTCATACATTGCTAATGAGAAGATAACTATATACCATTCCCCTTTTGACTAAATTCCATTTTTAGAAATGTATCTTAAGGCAACAATCTGAATTATGCACAAAACTTGGATCTTTCTCATATTGTTATTTATGACTATTGAAGATAGAAACAAACTCGTGGTATGCAATATATACACAAAAATGTTAAAAAGTAGATCATGGGAGGACTTTAGTTATTTTACTTACAAACTGTAACTTTTATGACTGACTTATAGAAATAATAGGTGATACTATAAAACATTACTAGAAATCAACCATATTAATAAAATAAAAACTTAACTGAGAATGAATCAAATGGTACAGAAACCATTTAAAGAAAAAAATGTCTCTAGAAATAAAAAGCAGAAAGATTTGTCTAAAATCTAATGGGTGGGGTTAATATAGAAAGAATAAGCCACAGAAAGGACATTCATAGAGGAAAAGGATTGTTAGAGAAATAAAAAGTAGCAGCAACCATGAATACTGTCCAAGAAAGCAGGTCTAAACAGGGACATTACTAATTGGTCCAGGAAGGCACTACTGCCCTAGAGTGAAGCTGGATGCATGTACCCTGTTTCTCCAAAAGTAAGACAGTGTCTTATATTAATTTTTGCTACCAAAGATGCGCTAGGTCTTATTTTCAGGGGATGTCTTATTTTTCCATGAAGAGGAATACGGTACACATTTATTGTTAAATGAAAATAAAGGAAATTTATTACCTGTATACAGTATGGTAGTACTGTAGTTGTCAACACAAACCAGACAAACTGTGAATCCTACATTATCAAGAATTTACTCCTTTATTCAATGACAATCATGTCATCATCTTCTGGAACATCATCATAACAATCCAATTCCTGAATTTCCTGGTGAATTTCTTATGACTCCATTTCTTTCAGAATCTAGTGGACCAAATCTCTCATGTTTAACAATAGCACTGTCTTTAAATGAGTAACATCACTGGTTGCTAGACGCCAGTCGGGGCGGCCCTAACGACCAGTTTACGATAAATTAATTTTCATTCTGAGACAGAGCCTAGGGGGGGCCTTATTTTGGGGAGGATGCCTTATATTTCACTCAGAAGGAAACCTGTAAGTAGGTCTTATTTTCAGAGGATGTTTTATTTTCGGGGAAACACGGTACTAGTATAGGTAGATTTCATTTGCCATTAGCAACATCCAACTAACTCCCCTTGCTGATTCCATGCTCACAAAGTGGCCTTCGGATTATAATTATGATTCTTAAGATTCTCAAGTATTATATATGGTTTTCCTAAACAACAACAACAACAAAAAGAAACCCCCCAAAAAAACATGTAGACAAAATAGACGATATTTTCTAATTCCCAGTTAAGTTATAAAACTGGTATTCTCATTTGTAAATTAAACTTCTGAGTGTTTGTTAGGCATAAACCAAGCTCCTAGACCAATCTTCCCTTAATCTATCAATTCCTATTTATTTCTCCTACTGGAGTTAAATGTTAAATATGTTCAATCTTCTTATCTTTAAAACTCTCCACTAAAGCTCAAGTACAACTCCAAGTATTGATCTCTGTCTGCATACCTATAGGCAAACTAAAAAGAGTAAGTTGTGGCCCTAGCTGGTTTGGCTCAGCGGATAGAGCGTCCACCTGTGGACCAAAGAGTCCAGGGTTCAATTCCAGTTGCAGGCTGCAGGCTGCTCCCCAGTGTGGTGCTGGTCAGGGCATGTGCAGGAGGCAACCAATCAATGTTTCTCTCTCAGATGGATATTTCTCTCTGTCTTTCCCTCTCTCTTTCACTCTCTCTAAAAATCAATGGAAAAATATCCTGGGAGAGAATTAACAAAACAGAGTTAAGTTGTCCCCATTCAACTGCTGTGACTACTTCTCAGCACAGGCTCATTTAAGTAAATTTCTCTCAGCACAGTCACTAACTTCCTTAGTACTAAATCCAATGGACACATGCAGTCTTTAGGTAATTTTGCCTATGAGAAGAAAACCTCCCCTTTTTCTTCTGGAAACACTCTTCCTTGGAATAATTTTCGTTCTACCTCTAAGACTTCTTTGGCTTACTTTGAAGATCCTTCTGCCTCCCAATTCTATCGTAAGCCTTCCTCCCAACCTTCACACTTCCCCAAGCAATCTCCCATCCCTTCATTTTCCTTCTACATGATTCCACTCAAATCTTTATTCCCAATCCAAAGCTCTCTGCAGACATGTATTATCTTGCTGCCTCTACATTTTCATGGGGACATTCCAAATACATTTCAGACTCAACAAGTCCAAAAATGAATACTTCACTTTACCAAACTTGTTTCTCCTGTGTCCCTACCATAGTTAATGATTATACCCAGTACCCCAAAACAAAAGGTAGTAACAAAGGACAGAAACATGAGTTACATTCTTAAACTTAAGTTCTTCCTAAATTTCTTTCAAATCTGTCTTCTCTTTTCCAGGCTCACTGAGAAGATCCTTACTAGCACCTTGGGCCCAATGGCCCCAATCTATCGCTGCATTGCTTCAATGTTTACTCATCAATCTTTCAATTCACTTTCCATGCTACAACCAATAATCTTTTTAATACATAAAAGTGATTATATGCATTTTCTTTTAAAATCTTTGTCATACCCTTTACATTTGAAAAGTTTGGATTCTATCCTAACAGTTTAAAAAGCCCTCAAAAATCAGGTCCTACCCAGCCAGTATGGTTCAGTGGTTGAGCACTGACACATGCAACAGGAGGTCACCAGTTTAATTCCTGGTCAGGGAATATGCCCGGGTTGCAGGCTCGTCCCCAGCAGGAGGCCGGCAGTAGGCAGCAGTTCCATGTGATGTTTCTCTCTCATTGATATTTAGATCTCTCCCTTCCTCTTTCTAAAATCAATAAAAACTTAAGACAAACAGCAGCAGCAAAAAAACAGGTCCTGCTTATCTCTTCAAACTCAATCCATCAATGTCTAAATTCTAGACAAACCAAATCACTTTCTAGTCCTTTAACATGTTCTTTCTGCCAGATATAGCCATTCCCCCTCTCTCCCACCTCTATATTTGGCTAGCTCCCATTTATTCTTTAAGTCTCAGTCTAGACATCTCTCTTTTGAAGAGGGGGGAAAACCCTATGACCTCATATGTAGTATTAGTTATAGTGCATGCTCCAAAAATACTGTTCCTTAATGCCTGTTTAATTTTCTGTTTTTGCCATTATAATATTACAGCAAGAGCTGAAACCGGTTTGGCTCAGCGGTAGAGCATCGGCCTGTGGACTAAAAGGTCCCAGGTTCGAGTCCGGTCAAGGGCATGTATCTTGGTTGCGGGCATGTCCCCAGTAGGGGGTGTGCAAGAGGCAGCTGATTGATGTTTCTCTCTCATCAACATTTCTAGCTTTCTATCCCTCTCTCTTCCTCTCTGTAAAAACTCAATAAAATATATATTTTTTAAATATATTACAGCAGGAACCAGCAAAAATATATTATCTTTGTATCTCTAGTACCTGGCATAGCAAGTATTTGATAAACATTTGTGGAAGGAAAAAAATAAGGAAGGTGGGAAATTTCACCAGAAACACCCATGATTGCACATCTTTCCAATAGAAACAAGCTATCATTTTAGAATATATATATATATATACACACACACACACACACACACACACACACACACACACATACATGCATATATATATTCTACAAAGAGAAGTTTTCTGTTTTATTCTCTGCAGTATATCACAAGCACCTAGAACATAGCAGGTCACATTATTGGGCAAATGAATAAAACTGTAAATATTAGTTCCTAAATTGACTATACTTTTACAAGCTTTATAAATGCTCTTTAAATTATATGTAATATAAAGATATACAAAAGTTAGTTTTACAAAGCCTCTTAACAATACATATAGCCTATTCAGCAATCCTCCCTTAAAAGTCTAGCTAGTCTATCCCACTATGCTGCCTGTCTTTAGCTTCTTCTATTCCTATTTTTCATGACTACTATTCTGCTACTCCTGCCCCATCCCTGTTAGTTCAGCATCAACCTACATCCAAGAAACTCATTGCATCTCCAGTACTTGCCACTCTATTCTACAGAGCCACTATTTTGTGTGTATTGTTTGTTTTCATTGATTTCAGAAAGGAACTGGGGATGAGAGAATCATCCATCGCCTCCTGTATGCCCCTACTGAAAATGGAGCCTGCAAAAGCG